GCTACTGGGGCCATTCCTGAGTTGGGGTAGTAGGGGTGCTACATAGGGAGATGGCATTTATTTATTTATTTATTGCTAAGAAGTTACAGAGTATCTAGCACACTGCCTTGACTATACTACATGCTTAAGTTAGAGGAGTGATTTTCCTAAAGAGTTCAGAATAATCTGCGCTTGTTAATCAGTGTGGAATCCAGGGACAGTGCGTTCAAAGGTCTGTTCCTGCGGTGTGGGCAGCATGCAGAAATAACTGAAACTGGAATTTTCCTGTTAAAGGAAAGCGCCAGCTTTTAAAGCATTCATTATTCTTTGCTTCTTTGGAAATCTCTTTCACTTCCCCACTGATGGTCAGCCCTCCCCCTTTCCCTCCCCCATTCCCTGTCCCCTCATCCTCCTCCCTCTCCCTTCCCTTCCCCATCCCCTGTCCCCTCATCCTCCTCCCTCTCCTTTCCCTCCCCCACCTCCTGTCCCCTCATCCTCCTCCTTCTCCTTTCCCTCCCCCACCCCCTGTACCCTCATCCTCCTCCCTCTCCTTCCCATGGCTGCCTGCACCTCTCTGCCCTTCAATACACCACAAAGAAGGGAGGAAAATTAACTGGGCAAAGAAAAGTTATGGATTCTGACGAGGCTACTTCTCAGACCTGGGACTTCTCTGCTTTGAATTTCAGCTTACATGTGGCCATTTGGGAAGAACAAGAAATGGTCCCAATTCAGGGATTCACTCCTGAGCTCATATGCGAGAGCAAAGACCATCTGTTCCCTGTTCTTGTCATTGCCGTAATCTCTTAGCACACCCTTAGCAGCAGTGACTGCCCAGTAGCAACCATTTCCAAGTAGTTGAGGGCATGGGCTAGGAGGATATCGCCAACGACTGTTTCTGCATGCATCTGCTGAACACTCGTTTATTGGCTGGCACTGTGCCTGGGTGACGGGCTCTAGGAAGACTTGAGACCAGAAACTTTGGCCTCTACGAGGCTCTAATCTTGTCAGGGGAAGCACGGAAACGGAGACACGGAATACAGCACAGGGATGGCTAGGGTGAGATTGAGTGAAACTATCTAAATGGGTCTTCCTCACTATTCGTTGCCACCGGATGGGCTACATCTTGCAGCTTCAACTTCTTTCTGCGTTAATGGGGAAGAAACAGAATCCCTTGGAAGCTCCTTTCCCATCATTCAATTTTCACATGTGGACTTGAGTCACATTATTCTTCACGAACAACTTCTGAGAAGGCTGGTTAGTACATAGCTGGAGAAAAAAAACAACTCAGTTACCCATTGGTTCTTTTAAACAAATTGTACTCTATGAAAATTGGAGACAAACATGTCTGCCATCTCTCACTTCGGCGGTAGGAAGTAAGGGCTGACCTACTCAACAAGGGTTCCTAACCCACAGTTTGTGGTTCTCAGATTTGGCACTCATGTGCCCAGGACACTGCTGGGAACTCACAGGACTGCCTAAGTGTTTGAATTCCCTAAACACAGAACTAAAAGTGTTCAAAGTGGCGGCAGTGACATCTTCAGATCCCATGTGTTGAGTTGTTTGGCCCTAACTATGTATTAACAGAACTACTGGTTATTTCTTTTAGCTTAGGGGCTTTTCAAAGCATCACTGAGATCCTGAATGGGGAATGTGTGGCAGGCTTTCTGGGGCCCAGTGCACCATCACCACGTCCACCACTGGATGGCCATGTGGAAGCAAACCTGGGCACAGACAGACCTCTCTTTTACACACCTACGCCTTGGTCTCGTCATTGGTCCGCTCCTTTGAACTTGGCAGTTGCTGCTGATTCGTTTCTTTACAAAAGGCGCAAGTTCATCATGAATTTGATCTTGATTCACAGTGCCCACCATTCAGCACCAGAGGCCACCAGAACTCCTGCCTTTGCGGTAAGAGAGCGGTGGTTAGCTCAAAGGCTGTGAGTTTTCAACACAGGGCAGGCTTCCAAACTGACACCCAGGCTGGCAGGATTTGCCTCTAGAGCCATTAGTGGGCAGCCTCGATTTCTCCTTGATGACTTGGTCCCCTTCTTCCTGGTAGGCCTCCCGCCCAGAATCTCTGCTTATCTTCCCCGCTCAGCTATCCCCCATGGGCCCTGATAGGGCCGAGGCTGCCTCTGCACCCTCCCCGGTCTGTGTGCTCTTCTGCCTGGGGCTTCACTGCTTGACCGTTGCTCTCAACGGCCATTAGAATGTTCAGTCCTAAAGATTCTCGGCAGTTGGTGCCTGGGTCCTGCAGCCAGGTAGACTAAGAGGCTGCAAGGCTGTCGGGGTTCAGGTCTTTCTGAGGGGACCCAGCAGCTGGTATATGAGAAATGCACAATGAATATGTGATGAATCAACCTTATAGCTTAACTCCCAGTGAGAGCTTCAGGGAAGCCACAGCTGCACATGAGAGTCCTCAGTCCCTGCCTTCTCATTTCCCGGGGCTCTCTCTGCCTTAGCTGAAAAAAAACTGATGGGAGACCCCAGGCAGGCCCAGCAGAGGGAGTGTGTGGTGGTGGGGGAGTGCGGACACCAGCCCTCCTGCCAGCTCTTCTCTTTCCTGCTGCCCTTGCTCATTCTTGGCCATGGCTCTCGTCCTTCGGGGCAGGTGGCTGAGTGCATGCAGCCTACACAGACAGGGCAGGGCTGTGTAGGGATTTAGGTGCTGGATTTAATCAATGTTTTTACCTTTGCCTGGCAACAGGGAAAGGAGACTGATGTCTCCAAGGCTGAGGGGCACACCTTGCCCTCTCACTCTGGGGGTCTGGTCTCTGGCACCCCTGGCTCTGCCTCACAGGGGATGGTAGGGGGATGGGGAGGGGATCTGGAGGAAAGCCTGCCCTGACCTTTCACACCCCTAGGCCCCCCAGTGTTGCTGCCTCTCCTGTATCAGCTGTTGAGGGCATTTAAGCAGTAGAAAAAAGCCCTGGTTTTTAGCTCACAGAAGAATATGCTGGTCAGGCAGGACCTCACTGGAGATGAGCCTATGGTCTAAGGCCTTTTAAGAACGGAGGTTCAGGGCTGGGCACTGTGGCTCACGCCCGTAATCCCAGCACTTTGGGAGGCCAAGGTGGGCAGATCATGAGGTCAAGAGATAGAGACCATCCTGGCCAACATGGTGAAACCCTGTCTCTACTAAAAATACAAAACTTAGCTGGGTGTGGTGGCATGCACCTGTAGTCCCAGCTACTCGGGAGGCTGAGGCAGGAGAATTATTTGAACCTGGGAGGTGGAGGCGCAGGTTGCATTGAGCTGAGATTGCGCCACTGCACTCTAGCCTGAAGACAGCGTGAGATTCTGTCAAAAAAAAAAAAGAATGGAGGTTCAGGACCCAGGGCCCTTTTGGCGCTCTGCTTGCCAAGCCTCCCATGTTAAGTTCAGGCAGGCTTGGAGGGATCTCTTGCCAGAAGACCCGCAGACCCCTCTCCTGGTGGGCAAGGACTTGCAGATCAACTCTGTGCTCCTAGGAAGGGACGTGGAGCCTGGGCTGGGATCCTTGCTGGGTTTGGCTGAGCCACAGGCAGAAGGACACACAGAGGCAGCCATGGGCACTGGGTGTCTGGGGCCTCTGCTGTTAAACGGGCAAAGGAACCTCTGTGAACAGTTCTCACTGGGCCTGCTGTGCTTTAAGATACAAGAAATAGCTCCACTGCCTGGGCCAACGTTCTGCTGGCTCCTCTGTGACGGCAGCAGTCCAGGTCTTGTGCTAGGAGCCGGGCCTATAGGGATTTACTATCCATGACAGCTGCCCTAGAGGGGCCGAGAGCTGACTTGGAGGAAAGCACACATGCATTAGGCATCTCCGTGCAAGAGTGCTCTGCTCTAGCAGCGACTGGATCACAGAGGAGGGGTCCCCATCCAGGGCCCGTGTCCCTGAGTAGGTTTTGGAGCAGGGAGGGCCTGAGCTGAATCCTGATGAAGAAAGGGCTTAAGTCACACCAGGAGTGGGATATGGGGGAATCCAGGAGTGGAGTGGGTATGGGGACCCTGGCTTGGGGAAGGCACTGAGGTGTGACAGGGTAAGGGTGAGGACACTGAGGGAATTAAGTGTTGAGGAAACAAGCAGAGGGTGGGATTGCAGAGCGAATGAGGGGGGAAGGGGTGACAGGCTTGCTGTGCCTGGATTTTATTCTGTTAACTTTCTGGGAAGGACAGCCAGAGGGCCAGATGGGCATTTTGAATGGAGCTTGTTGGCTTCAGTGTGCAGGGGTCAAGAGTTGTGGCACAAGATGAGGCCACTGCAATGAATGAGGCAGGAGATGAAAAGCCCCAGTGAGGGTGGGGGAAGGGCAGAAGGGATCGTGGGGAGGAAGGCAGGGGTTGCAGATTCAAGTAACCTTGGGTAGATGCCACCAACCGAGAAAGGAACAGAGTGCGGAGGTGGGGGTGTCATGACAACTGGTGTCTGCCGCCTCAGGGGAGATGGAAATGGAGGTGTCTGTCACTCCGGGCCGGCCTGGCACTTGGACATCCACATTCACGGATTTTCTAAACAGTTGATGAGATAGAGCTGGAAGGGTGAGCACTGGGCAGGGCCACATTCCTGAGGATAGTTATAAGGGGTAGGTAGAAAAGCAAGACAGAGGCAGAGGAGACCGGGGATGGAAAGCTGGGGAGTGTGATGCTGCTGAGGAAGACAGCTGTCCGCCATGGACTTTGGGGGTCTTCACCCACTCTCTCCCCTCCTACCAGCCTATAAACGGGCTGCCAAGGGCAGTGACCAGTATTAAGGGGTGATGTCTCCTTCAGGTGCCTAAAGCTATGTTGACATATACTTGGTGCTAAATTAATGTTAGAGAAACCCATTGAACACAAATGTAGCACAGAGGCCAGTGAGAGGAGGGCTGGAGACATTCCTGGCTCTGGCAATGGTCAGGGAGACTGTGTGCCATTTGCCAGACGAGTTCGGGAGGCCAGGGAAGTGGGGATGGAAGCCAGACTTCAGCAGGCTGGGGAGGCAGTCTTTTGGGTGGAGTTGGGTTGGGTGGGGGTGGTAAGGAGGTGGGAGATGGCAAGTGTCTCTATTCTTTTTTTTTTTTTTTTTGAGACGGAGTTTCGCTCTTGTTACCCAGGCTGGAGTGCAATGGTGAGATCTCGGCTCACCGCAACCTCCGCCTCCTGGGTTCGGGCAATTCTCCTGCCTCAGCCTCCTGAGTAGCTGGGATTACAGGCACACGCCACCATGGCCAGCTAATTTTTTGTATTTTTAGTAGAGACAGGGTTCCACCACGTTGACCAGGATGGTCTTGATTTCTTGACCTCGTGATCCACCCACCTCGGCCTCCCAAAGTGCTGGGATTACAAGCGTGAGCCACCGCGCCCGGCCCGAGTGTCTCTGTGCGTAAAAGTTTGTCTGAGACAGGAAGGAGAGCAAGTGCTGAGCTCACGTTTTGTAACTACACCGTTTTCTAAGAATTTAAAAGAACATTTGTTGCTCCCCTTCCCCCTCAAAATAAGGCATGTTCCTTGTAGGAAAGGTAGAAAAATACGTGTAAGAAGAAGAAAAAAAACTGCCGTAACTCCCTCCATTAGAAACATACCCTGTTGAACCTGGAATTTCCTTCCAGACTTCTGGCTTTGTGTTTTAGTAGAAATGGTCTAACTCATTACTTGCAACATATGATTCACTTAACAGTTCATGAATATCTTTCTCTTGTGTATGCTACTCTTCTTCCAAAACAGCCTTTCAACTTTTATTGACCTATCTGGGATCTCCTGTCTGGGATTCAAATGGTTCAAAAATCTGACAGGTGCAAAGGTGCATTCAGGGGAAGGTTGCCCCTTTTGTTTTCTGCCTGGGAGCCCACTCAGTTCCGCCCCCTGGAGGCAACGGATGCTCCTTCACAAGCAGCAAATTTAGTAGTTGGATCATATTCTGTTGCATAAATGTCTCAATATTTATTTAGTTTTTAAGACACAGTCTCCCTCTCCAATATTTATTAAAATAGCTTTCCATCTTGAATATTTGGATGTTACTGTTTTATTTTGCTCTTATACATAAGGCTATGATGAATGGCCTTCTAGCTAGGTCTTTGTACACATACTTCATTTTGTTAGAATACATTTTTAGAAGCAGAATTTCTGGGTCAGAAGGTAGGACAAATTAAAAAAAAATCCAATCTCAGATTTTTACCTCCAAAAAAATCTGTATTGATTGGCATTCCCCCAGCAATGCACGAGAATGTCTGTATCCCCACCTGTGTTATTAAAACTCACTTCCTCAAACGGTGCCAACTTAGTGGGTAAAAGTGCATGTGAGGCCCCTGACGCTGACTGTGAACTGCACTTTTAAAGGGTGCAAGTAGCACCTTGGGGGAAAAATAGGAGACTAGGTGGTGGCTCCAGGGACAGCAGCTCTGAGTCCCTGGGGAGGGCTGACCTGTGAGAGCAGCAGAGGGCAATCTAGTGTGGCTTGAGGTGGCAGCATCACCAGTGGCCCAAGCCTGGGGACAGAATTCTTCACTTTTCAGAAACCCCCAGGTAGAAGCGGGAGGATCCCAGGCCATGAGAAGCATGAAGGCCACAAAATAATCACAGCCTGAGGTCCAGGGACAATTGGTTCGCAGGCAGGATTTTTGATTTTCCCCCTGAAAGAGACTGTGATGTTCTTTTTCTGGCAAGTTAATGGTGTACTAAAAGGGGTCCTTGGAATAGGGTTGGGGGTGCTGGTGGTGAACACTCTTGGGTGATGGAAATGCCCCTCTCTCTAGAGTGTGCCCTGTGCACAGGTTTGGGGTACAGCCGGTGTCCTTGTGTCCTCTGGTGCTGGGCTCTGCGGTTCCTGCTTGGGGAAGGGAGAATAAAGACTGCTTTCATGTACCCAGCTGAGAGTGGGGCAAGGGACAGCAAGGGCTCCCTTATTCATGAACCCCCAGATCTCAGAAAGTTTGCACTGAAGGGTGAACCCGGACATTGAGAAGAGCTGGATATTCCCTCGACATTCACCTACCCTTCAGGTTTCTCTAAACAATCCCTGCTTTTACCACGTCTGCGTCAAGGGGCAACTCCATCCACCTCTAAGAAAAGAAAAGAAAAAAAAGCATTTAACACAAAGCAAAACATGAAAGGATTTTTTGATGGGTCAGTGTTGTGGCTATGACTTGGAATTTTTCACTAGATTAAAAAAAATCATGGAAATAAAATATGAAAAACGACATTAGCCCATATCATGTTGAAAACAATGTGAATGCTTTTATGGCACTAGGAGAGATGGGCAATCTTATTCACTCTTAGAGGGAATGCAAATAACTCTGCACTGTCTGAAACTCCAGTTTCTCAATGTATCTCAGAAGCCTTAAATGTGTGCATTTTCTTTGATCTAGCAATTCTGCTTCTAGGAATCTTTCCCAAGAAAATAATTAGGTTAAAACTTAACTGTAAGGCTCTGCTACACACGAAGTCTTTCATGCATTGTGAGGGGACCGTGATCGAAAAGTAGAGCAAATTATTCCATCATGGCAGATTTGTTGAGTAATTTGTAGTCGTTCAATTTATTAAATTAGACAAGTAAAATAAGTTCTGTAGCAGTCTATAGAATAAAATCTCTTCTCTTTGAGCAACATTCGATAGATGTATAACTATTTTACATTAATGGATATAAACCTAGAAGGATACATATCACAATACCAACACCCAACTTTTTGTGTGTGGTATTAATACTCTCTGCTCCTAATCCTACAAAGCAATCCTGATTGTAAGGATTATAAGCTCAACTATTAGCTTCACTGAGTGGCCCTTGGTGAGCACCACAGACAAAACTATTTTCTAGCCAAGGATGTTTCTGGTCCTAAGCCCAACACAGTTGTTTATTGCCATTTTTTTTACCTTCTTCACAGCACCTATCAATGTATGTAAATGTATTCATTCATTTGTTCACGTATTTCTGTTACCTGCCTGATCTGCTTTTAAGGTCAGCTCCATGAGGGCAGTGACTGTCTATCTTGTTTCTACTGTCCCCAAATATAGGACTCAGCACAGAGTAGATAGTGAGTAGATATTTGTTCGATTAAGTATGATTCTTACTGAATTGTAAGTTATTTATTAAGGATGTTAAACTTCTATCATCTACAGCAGAGGTTGGAAACTTTCTGTAATTGTCTACATTGTAAATTACTCAAGTACTTGCAATACACAGCTACTCAACACTGCCATTCTAGTGTGAAAGCAGAATAGATAATACACAAAGAAATGGCTGTGGCTGTGTTACAATAAAACTTTATACTAAAAACAGGAGGCGGCAGGAGTTGACCCTTGCTAACTCCTATTCTGCATTGCAAATATATTTCCATTATATTGTGGGCCATTTAATTTTTGCTTTTTATGTACAAAAATTTAAATTTTTATGTAGTCATTAGTATTCAACTTTTTCGATGGTTTTATTTAAAACTTTTCTTAGAACTCTCTCCCCATCCCAAAGAGTATAATTATGCTCTGGATTATTAAATGTACATGATTCAAATATGTTAAATTCTCATTCTTTGGCCTTTTATCCTGTGAGACACAAATTCCACATGTTTTATTTCCTGTGAAAATCATTGTATCTGTGCATAAAGCTTTTCCCACAACCATGTTCATCACAAGGCTAATAGGCACTTTTTATAATAATCTTAGTGTCTATTAATTAAGAATTAGATGTATTATCAATATAAATAAAAACAAATGATACAAACTAATGAAAATGATTTTAAATTGAATTAAATATTCACCAGAAAATGTGTCCACAGTATCCTAGGCAAACACAAACAGGCTATACGTAAACCTACAGTATGATCCACTTCATATTGGCACTTACTCGATGCTCAATAAATATTTGTTGAATGACTAAATGAGTGACTGAATGAGTGAGAGACTAGATAGAGGAAATAATTAGAATATTCTTTCTGACAAAATAGCAGCACACCTAAAATGCTGAATTCAAACAACCAAACAAAAAGTAAACAAACATTCTTTCTAAGCATAGAATGACTTACACTGAAATAAGGAATTATTTTCTGCCCCAGAAGCTGCATAAAAATGGGACTGCGTTGAAATAAGCATCTATGAGAGCTGACGTCTGCCCTGGCAGTGTCTGGTAACCTAGAATTTCCAGAACTGCATTAAGAGGTATGGGGCTGGGGGTGAATTTGCCACTTAGCCTGTGATTTTGGGAGGGAGGGGGACAACCACAAATCAAAAGAGGGTAAAAGGTGGAAAAACAGGCTGGGTGTGGTGGCTCACACCTGTAATCCCAGCACTTTGGGAGGCCGAGGCAGGCAGATCACGTGAGGTCAGGAGTTCGGAACCAGCCTCGTCAGTATGGTGAAACTCCATCTCTACTACAGATACAACAATTATCCTAGTGTGGTGGCAGGTGCCTGTAATCCCAGCTACTCAGGAGGCTGAGGCAGGAGCATCACTTGAACCTGAGAGGCAGAGATTGCAGTGAGCTGAGATTGTGCCACTGCAATCCAGCCTGGGAGACAGAGCGGGACTCTGCCTCAAAAAAAAAAAAAAAAAAAAACAAAACAAAACAAAAAACGGTGGGGGGAACAACCACAGAATGTAAGACAAAATAAAATGGTAGAAATGAACACGAATGTGTCACTATATGGACTGAATTCATCAGTAAAATAAACAAAGATTGTTAGTCTCAGTAAAAGAGAACCAGTAAATGCTGCAGTCCCTGTATGCCTGAAGCCTGAGAACTGGGTTAGGGAAGCGAGAGAGAGATGGGGGTGTCCTGAGGGCTACCCTGCTCTCCACTTTTTTGAATGTGATAAGAAATACATTTAAAAGGTGAAAGAAAATGTATAAGCTGTTTACTTTTTTTTTTTTGCTTCAGATGACAGTAACAGAATCCCTAAATTCTAAAAACTAAAGAACAGGTGTTTTCACAAGTTAAAAGTTTTAAGTAATATATATATACCTACATATATATACACACACATACATATATACACACATATATATACATACTATATACACACACATACATATACACACATATATATACACATACATATATACACACATATATACATATACACACATATATACACACATATATATACACACACATACATATACACACATATATACACACACATATATATACATACATATATATACACACATATATATACACACATATATATACCTACATATATATACACACACATATATACATACTATATACACACACATACATATACACACATATATACACACATACATATATACACACATATATACATACATATACACACACATATATATACACACATGCACACATATATACACACATACATATATACACACATATATATATATGCTTGCTATAATTCGCTTTTCAAAAATTGTTCATGGCTTTCATAAAAATTATAAATAATCATAAAAAGTTACTTGTGCATGTAAAGAACAAAGCAAAAAAACACAATGAATCCATTAATAGATTTTGTACTTAAACTCTTTATCATCACAAACAAACAAAAACAAAAACAAAAATCCTGAAAATCCTCAAAAGCCTAATTCTGAGTAAAACGAAACAAAGGATAGTGGCTTTTTCTAGAAAGTTTTTCTTCCAAGAAATGCATAGTTTTCTGAGAAAATAGTTTCATTGATTGTTACCAGAGATATTACAAATGACAAGGTGGAAACTGAGGTTTAATTCTAAGCTTGCTACTTAGCCTGTGGCTTTGGAACAGTCACTTTTTCTATCTGGGCCTCAGTTTCCTCAACTACGAGACAAGTTTGAACAGAATTTCAAGATCCCTTTCACGTACCAAACTGTGTCATTTGAGATCACGCAGTGCATTATTATAAACCCCCACTAAGCGGCAGTATTTGCATAGTCATCTCCTGCAAAAAGCAGACTTAGGCCTGCAAAATAGTACTCGTTTTCCCATCTCCGCTGGAGGACGACAGTGTAGCAGGTGGAGACCATACCCCTGCGTGAAGCACTGGGGCCTCTGTGCCAACCCACAGCTCCGCCAGGAGGTAACAGCCCCCCCGCAGCAGCCCCGAGAGCCCCGCGAGAAGCGGGACTTCTGATGTGAGCTTTGACGTGCCCGGGAGCCCCCGGAGTGTCTGCTTTTATCTCATTACTGAACGCGCTCTGGCTGCAGGTTGACATTGTTGGTGAGAATAGAGGATATTTTGTTTCATCTACTAACTCTTATTTTCTTCTCCTGTCCCTTTAGCGTGGACAGAGAAATCTGCACAACTCTTACCCCTGGACATGACGAGTTATCCTCATTAGTGGTTTGCAGAAAGATGTGGGGAAGAATGCTGTGTGCCAGCACCAGGAGCTGCTTGACAATCCAGTCAATGGGCGTCCATCCTCGGCCCGCGCTGTCAATTCAAGTGGTTCTGGAATTCCAGGGCACACCACGAACCAAACCCTAACTAAATCTCCAGGTAGACCAAGGATCCCGAGATGTGAGCGATTTTGATGTTCATGGCTGTGGCAAATAAAAAAAAAGTGATAACAGGCTTCCATTTGCTGAAGACAGCATTTAACCACACCCTCCCTAACCCAAACCTCCCACCTCTTCCTACGAAAAATATCGCTAAGGAGGCTGAGAAGCTGTCAAGCACCCTCTGGGCTTTGCCTCCCCCGTAGGGCTGCTAGTGACAGAGGCATTCGCCAAGACGACAGGTCATTGAATATTTATTGGTTCCCCTGCACTGGGAGGAGCCGCTGCAGAGTGGAAAGACCCATGAGACAGGTTTCTGCCCGCGAGGAGTTTTCAGCAACGAGGCAAACCCAGGATACAAATATTGTTAAATAAGCAGAGAGCATGCCAGGGACCCTAGAAGAGAAAAGACAGGGCTGTGGGCAGAGACCAGTGATGACTGAGAAGGCACCCGTGGGCCTTCCTTAACGGGGGTGGCTTGGAAGGGAGGAGATCTGAAGGCAGGGCAGTGACAGGTGGTGGGCACAGAAAAACTGAGCACACTGGGATAGGATGAGTAGGGTAGGTTTGGTACAAAGGAAAGATGCAATGAGGCTGAAGCAAGAGCGAGAGTGGCCAGTAAAAGAAGGAAGACAGGGAAGGGAGGGAGGAGCTCCCTGCCCCAGCCAGCCCTGCCTGAGCATTCTTCTGGCTTTGCTCAGCTTATCCGAGCCCTGTATTCTAGTGTTACAAAGCATATGGGCAGATGGGCATTCTCCTGTACTATCTGTGGATGTGAAAATCATCTTACCATTTTTTCTGCATAGTTTGGCCCTGTGATCTCACAATCCCACATCAAGGAATTCCCCTTAGTGGATAAGCACCCAGATGTATATAGCAAAAGAAGGTTATAGAGAAAGCTGGGTTTTGTAGAATAATTTTATTTTATTTATTTGTTTTTGAGGCAGAATCTCGCTCTGTCACCCAAGCTGAAGTGCAGTGGTGTGAACATGGCTCATTGCAGCCTCCACCTCCCTGAATCAAACAATCCTTCTCCCTCAGCCTCCCATTGGAGCTGGTACCACAGGCGCACACCACAATGCCCAGTTAGTATTGTTATTATGTTTGTTGTAGAGATGAGAGTCTCACTTTGTTACCCAGGTTGGTCTCGAACTCCTGGGCTTAAGCAATCTTCCTTCCACAGCCTCCCAAAGTGGTGGGATTACAGATGTGAGCCACCGCACCCAGCCTGAACTATGTTTAATAGTTTAAAATTAGAAATAATCTGTATGTCCTTCAAAATGGTCTTTGGGAGCCATTTAATAAAAAAGTAAAAATCCTCTTGTGATCGGGGTGTTTATGACATGTAGTTCAATGTGCGAGGCTACTTACAGATCAGCTGTATATAGTGATGCCTTCTCAAAGTTGTCCACGTGTAAGTGTGAGTGAGAATATATACCCATAGAGAGTTATCTGAAAGAATGCTCAACAGAATGTGTACAGATGTGCGTGATGTTATGACATATGATATGTGTGTCACGACGTGTATGATTTTGTGTATCATCTTAATTCTTGACCCCAAAGGTGCCATCTTTACAGAAACTCTTGGGTAGTGTTCTCAGGAGGAACAGAACCAATAGGATGTACATACATAAAAATTTCTCTCTCTTTCTAAATATGTTTCTATAGGTAGCTAGATAGGGAGAGAGATCTATTTTAAGGCATTAGCTTACATGATTTTGCAGGTACAAGTCTAGAAATCTGCAGGATAGGCAGGCAGGCTGGAGACCCAGGGAAATGTTGCCATCCAAGCGCAAAAGCCATCTGCTGTGAGAATTCCTTCTTCCGGCAGAGAGGTCAGTCTTTAGTCTATTCAGGCCTTCAACTGCCTTGATGAGGCCCACCCACGTTTGGAGAGCAATCTGCTTCACTCAAAGTGCACCCGTTTAAATGCAAATCTCATCCCCAGACTCCTTCACAGAAACATCTAGAATCATGTTTGACCAAATAATCTGGGCACCATGGTCCAGCCAAGTAGACATGTAAATTTAGACATCACAAGCAGTGCCCCAGATGTTAGGACTGGTTGTTGGTCCCCTGAGACTTTCAGAAAAAGGAGGTGATGGGGGGTGTGTGATAGCTCTGGGCAGGCTGTAGGTTTTTGTTTTACTTGGCTGGCTAGAGAAAGTTGGAATTCTGTATAGAGTTACTGACTTGAAGAAGAATCTATAAAGAACAAAGAGACGTTTGATTTCTTTTCCTGCATTAGGCAAAATTCGAACTTTCATGCACAATGGCTGACCTGACCAAAAAAAAAAAAAACAACTTTGGGAGGCCAAGGCGGGCAGATCATGAGGTCAAGAGATCGAGACCATCCTGGCCAACATGTGGTCCCAGCTACTTGGGAGGCTGAGGTGGAAGAATTGCTTGAACCCAGGAGGCAGAGGTTGCGGTGAGCCAAGATTGCACCATTGTACTCCAGCCTGGCGATAGAACAAGACTCCGTCTTAAAGAACCCTTGAGTGATTTGTTCTGATGCCCCCAGTAGAGTGTACTTACTCACTTTCTTAGATACTCTTACATTTCTTTGTCCGTGACTCACACTTGCTAGAAGCAAGGCTGGTTATTGGCGTCAAAGGTACAACCTGCAAAAAAGCAGCCTATGCTTAAATTATAATTTTCTGTTTTCTCAATATTTTCTTCACACTTCTCAGGCCTTGATGCAGGGAAGTCAAGACACCACTGCTGGTTCAGGTGACATTGACTCAGTGTGGGTCATTACAGTCAAATTGCTAAAATTTCCTCCACAGAGGAAGGTCCACAGCTCTCACCTCCAGTGTGGCCAGTATCATTCCTCCGCCACATTCTAAAGGGGGCCAGGGAGTTTAGCCTCATCGCATGGCACCTGAGCACGTGGCAGCTGGAAGGCAGCCGGAGCTGGGTCGTCGTGGCTCTCCGAGGGCTCTTCCTGCATGGGAGCCATAGTGTTAAGCCTCCCTCACACACTGACCAGGAGCCCCTTCCTCCTCTCCCCACTCGCCATCACGGACTGGAGATGTGTGTTGGCAAAAGTAAAGGCCCTGGAAGTAAAGGCCACCTGCCAGCTCAGCCTCAGTAAGTCCTTCCTTCAAGCCTTCCCATCGGAAGTCAGATTCCATTCCCAGGAGCAATTAGTCCTAACAACAAATGACAGAGGTTCTAAAAGTGCGATTCAAGTGAGATTTGCAGAAGAAATGATAAATAAACCCAGAAGTTACGAAACTACAGCGGCAGGATTGATTCATTTGTATTCGAAGCTAAAAGCTTGATGTAAGGGCTTGTGTTCCCTTTGGCACGAGTCTTCCTGTGCAATCATTCGCGCTTCCTGAACACCTTGGGATTTCCACGTGGAGGGGTGGGAGAAGGAATCTGTAATCTCTCTGCTTCAGGCTCTCTTTTTATTACTTCAGGAATCGTTTAGTCAGCTGGCCTCTGGGAGGGAACTTTCAGTCATTGCACCTTCTAATTAAGATTTCTTTTCAAAAACAGCAAACATAGGTTTGGTCCATTGGGTTTGCTTATCCTGGCCCAGCAGCCATGTCCTTATAAGAATTTCCAAGTTAAATGTTTAGCTTGGGTGTGTGCAAAAAAAGCTGAGACAGTCATCTGCTTTGCATCACCTGAGGTCAGCGGGCTCAAGAAAGGAGATAAATGCAATTTTAGAGTCCTTGATGGCCCACGATGTTCAGAAGGTTGCTGGGTACCATCTTTTCTGCCTCAAACACGTGCCTCTCTAAGCAAGTCTTTCAGTTGCTGACCACACCCATCCGCATTTGCAACTCTCTTCCCAGATTTATTTTTCTTATTTGTACCTGTCCTCAGCTGACACAGTTTGGATGTCTGTTCTATTTATCTTGTCCATTGTCTACCCCCAGCCCCCACTATAAAATCTCTTCACAAGACTAGGAATTTTTTGTTTGAATTGTTCACTGTCATAATCCAAGAGATGAAAGAATTTCAGTGCCTAGGACCTAGGAATGCCCATTCTACTTTACATAATAAATCTCATATGATCCTATCTAATCAGAAACAATTCTCCAGCTTTGTATTATTTATGAGGTGTTAGAAAACACACACTTTCATCAACCTTGGAAAGGCTGGATGATCAGTCTTTATAAGAAGGGAGCATTTATTTAATAAGCACTGAGAAAGTACGCGGAGTGTTCAGGTGCTCTTCTAAGGGCTTTATAGAAATTAGTCCAATCAATACTTTGACCAGCACTATGAGGTAAGGACTACTGTTACCAGCCCATTTTACAGATGAGGAAGTGAGGCTGAGACGACAGCAGACTGCTCAGGGCCCCATAGCTGATAAGTGTCCAAGGCAGGATTCAGGCACAGGAAGTCTGGCTGGAGAATCTACCTTCACCAGCTGCCTTCCCTTGCTTGGGAAGGACTTGGCATGCTGCCTGGTGCTTAGTGAAGCCATCTCTTTTTTTTTTTTTTTTTCTTTTTTTGAGATGGAGTTTTTTCCCTCTTGTTACCCAAGCTGGAGTGCAATGGCGCGATCTCCGCTCACAGCAACCTCTGCCTCCTGGGTTCAGGCAATTCTCCTGCCTCAGCCTCCTGAGTAGCTGGGATTACAGGCACACACCACCATGCCCAGCTAATTTTTTTTGTATTAATAGAGATGGGGTTTCATCTTATTGACCAGGGTGGTCTCAATCTCTTGACTTCATGATCCACCCGCCTCAGCCTCCCAAAGTGCTGGGATTACAGGTGTGAGCCACAGCGCCCGGCTAGTGAAGCCATCTCTAGGCAAAGAGAAGATGGGAACAAGGGACAGTGAGCGTCCTGCCGTGTGGAAGCTCACTCTGTGATGGGGAGATAAGACACTTGTTCCCAAGCTGGCGGTGTCGTATATACAGTGCACTACGCGCTACAGGAGGTGAGAAGCACAGCCAGTTCTCCAGCTTCCCAGGACAACCACCCTAGTGCTTATCAATGAGGGCGTGAGGCATCCCATCCCACCCCGTCCAGGCCTCTGGGCAGAACCCACACTCTGCTTGTCAGGGCAGTGGGAATCGCAGGGTGTGGGGAGGGGGCAAGGCCCGTGTGGAACTTGAGGTTTACAGATTTCCAGAAGGGAACTCCTCAGTCAGACTTTCTGCTCTAAATGTGTCGGGGCTCTTGCTTGAATCTTCTAACCTCTAATGATCACGTCATTTGGGGTCTTCTGTCCACTGGGGACAAGTTGGCTTCTTGGAAGAGGGTAAATAAACAAGTCATCCATGGTTCTCATGGATGAATCTTCAAGCTTCTTCTCTGAGGTTTACTCTCATTTCACCAGGTAAAACCAAGTTACCAGGCCAAGCCTGATGCCAGCAGGTTGGGAAGTATTGTTCTCCCCAGGGATGGCTAAGGAGGGAGGGATGGTACACACTTTTGACAGTCATGTAGCCTACCAAAGCAGGGCCTATGTAACAGGGGCAGGAAATAGTTGGTTTGATGGAGGCATGTGATGTCTTGAAGGGAGGTCCTCTAGGATGTATAGAACGAGCAGCTTGGGGTCAGTTCTTGGACTATGGACTTCACAGGAAGGCATTGGAGCAATGGAGGGTTGTTGGGCAGGGGAGTGACATATTCACAGCTGTGCCTCTCAAGGGGCTGGACCTTTAGGTGCACTTTACAGTAGGCATGTAGGGGTAAGAAAATATAATTACTCCCACAGAAAGCAGTTCACTGAAAGCAACCTAAATCAGGATGCTTGGACACTAGTCTGCAGAGTGGCGCCAGTCTGGCTGCATGAGAATCACAGCAAACCCCGACAGCTGTGCCTCCCATCGTCAACACCGCCACGCCTTACTGTCCCCACGCTGTCCCCCCCGGCAGCCACCACCGTCTTTTCTGCCTACTGCTCCCAGCTGTCACTCTCTCCCCTTTGTAGTCTCTCCTTCCCACAACAGCACAAGGTAAATGTATTTTTACTATGTAAATCCAAGCATGTCCCCACCCTGCTGAAACCTTCCCTCTACACACACACACACACACACACACACACACACACACACACACGACAGTAGGCAGATTTTAAAGGAATTCTGGAGACAAAGGGAGTCTACATCAC